AATTCATCCATGGCTTTTTCATTGCTTTTGCCGACATATTGAGTCTGTATAGACAATAGTTATTTTTGCTTTTATCTATGTATGTTGAAACTTTTAAAATTAAAATTTACTATTAGTTCTTCAAATGTAATATATAAATAGTATATTTCATATGTAAAATAATAATTATTTTCGCTATTTAATATTCAATATGTAAGAAATGTAACATAATTTCGAAATTAATAGGTAATTTCGAGATAAAATAATGAGTGATTTTTGAAAAAAAATATGGACTAAAAAGCCCATGTGTTCAAAATATATTTTTAGTAGAAGAATTGTAAACATGATTAATTAATTATAAAAACTACTACGTAAAAGTTTTAATGTTTAAAGAGAATAAAAATAAAATCCATATTGCATTGAAAAATCCACCTAATATTTGCTATAACTTACATTGGAAAATTTTCATTATCTAATTCAATAGAGATCAAATTAAATTACATTAGAATTTTTGTGGATGTAATGATTCCAATTACTATTATTTATTGTTGTGTGAACTTTTATTGAATTTTTTTACCATATTTCAAGCGTTGGAGAAAATGTCATTCATTATAAAAATACAATGGAACTTTCATTGATAAAGCTACTTGCAGTGGCGGATCCAAAATAATTTCATATTGGAGGCAATATTTAGTTAGTAGAAAAATAGTATACCATCAAAATAACATAATGTCATTACAATTTATAACTTATATTGTTCATAATTTGTCATATTCCTCATTTGTTATTTTTTTTAAACACATCAATACAGTCCCATTAGGTTAAAAAATATTTAAAAACAACATATATTTTCTCAACTCAACATAATACAATCATCGAAAATAACATATATATTTTCTTAAAAATTTTTATTAACAAACAATTCATGTTTTAGTATAGTTGACTCGATAAAATAATTGATAAAATTATAAATTATGAATATATAATTAAAATTCCACATACATTTAAAAAGACATAAAAGTATATTTTGATGTTAGAGAAAAAGTATATCGTAAAAGAGAGAATAAAAGTTATCATCAAGATTAGAAAAATAGAACCCGAAGGTAAAATTATGAATTTTGATAATTATCATATTTCCTTTAGTTATGATACCGCGTTATTATAACTTTAACAAAGTTATGAGCTGAATTAAATTAGAATTGGTAGAGTTGTAAATTAATTAATTATGTATATTTGTTTCTTTTAATACTATTTCTAAATAGGGGGCATGGTTAAAATTATGAAAAATGTTCCTACAATTTTCGTTATGTTGCGCAAATTGATACCTTATGCTACATGGTTTGGGTTGAGGGCCTGTGTCAGAACATTAAAATATGTTCGTTAGAATTATCGTTGAAATTTCAATGTAATATATTTTGTTGGAATTACATCATTCTCTTATACTAAACATATGACTCCAGATCCATAAAAAAATTGCATTATAAAAAATATTTTGTGTAGTTAATTATCATGAAAATTGTTGATAATGATACAAAATATAACATTATTTAAAACAAAAAAAAGATACATCTATGTTAAAAAGTCCTTAATTATTTTAATAGTAATATAATAACTAAACAAGGATCCGGAATACTGTTCTATGTAATAAATATAAAACCACAATGAGAAAACTTATAGCTCACATTCAATCCAAAAGTAAAAAAAGTGATAAAATTAATTAATGTCCTGTATATCAATTGGTGATGACGAATGATAAATAAGAAATATACTTAAGATGCACACACACACACACACACATATATATATACATACATATATATATATATAAATATATTGCATTCAAATCGGTATATTAGTCTTAATTTGTTTACTTAAAAGTTCAGTTATTTTTTGCCATTATATTTTTACATATTTAAATACTTAGTATTTTTTATTTTTTACCTTTTTATGAGTAATATATTTCAAATAAAATTATATTGGAATATTTGTGAGTTTGATTCCAAGTACCATTATTTATTGTTGTGTGAATTTCGTTGATTTTTTTTTTTTCCGACAATATTTCAACCGTTTGAAAAACTGTGGCTGAAATTGTAAATACAGTGGTCGATCAAAACTGATTTCATATTGGGAGCATTATATAAAAAATAGAAAAAGTATACCATCAATATAACATAATGCCACTACAATTCACAAATTATACTTTTTGTAATTTTTCATCTTTCTCATATGTAATATTTTTTTTAACACATCAATAAAATTATAATAAGTTAAATAATATTTAAAAAAAGAAGCATATTTCAAAATAAGAAAATATGAATAATATAATATTTTTTAAATTTTTTATGAAAATAAAAATATGTTGTAGTATAGTTAACTCGACAATATAATTGATGAATGTATAAATTATGAATATATTACTAGAATTCTACATACAGTTAAGTAAAACATAGAAAATTTATTTTAAAGTTAAAAAAATATGTGGCAAAACAGAGAATAGAAACTATCATCAAGATTAAAAAGAAAAGAGAAAATTAGAGTGTCAAATTGTAAAGTTTTGATAACTATCATATTTTCTTTGGTTGTAATACCACGTTTATATTATATCTTTAGTAAAGTTATAAGTTGAATTCAACTATAAGTAGTTGAGTTGTAATTAATCCATTATGTATCTTTTTTTCATTTAGTTTTATTTTCTAAATGGGAGGAATTATTAAAATTATGAAAAATGTTCCCACAATTTTTGTTAGATATCTTATGCTATATGTTTTGGGAAGAGGTCTGTGCCAGGACTATTAGATAAACATGCATCTGCCCCTGATTTCAACAAAATATTTTTGTTATAACTTTCACTAAAAACATCAAACGGGAGTATAACATTGAAATTGTCGTTGAAATTTTGTTGTAACATGTTTTTATTGAAATTTTATAATTTTCTTGTAGTAAAATTATGGATCCAAATCAAACTAAAAAATTTTGCATTACATATACTTTTGTGTGCAGATAAATATTTTAAAAATTATTGATAATGATACAAAATATAACAAATTCTATGTAATTATCATTTAATCTATGATAATTTGTATTTTTTCAAACTAAATAAGATACATCTACGTTTAATTATTTTCTTAGTATTATAATAACTAAATAAATGGTAAGAATGATGTTCTACGTGATAAAAAAGGTAAGAATAGACAATGAGAAAGCTTATAGATCGCATTCCATCCAAATGTAAAAAAAGTTATAAAATTAATTAATGTCCTATGTCAATTGGAACTGACCAATAATAAATGTAAAACATACTTAAGGTGCACATTTATAAAGAATATACTTATTTTTGTGCATTAAAATCGGTATGTCAGCCTTAATCTTTTAGTTAATAATTTTATTACTTTATGCTTTTTAAAATTTTCAATAGGAAATACTTAATATTCTTTATTTGTTGCCATTTTTATATGTAATATATTTCATAATTGTTTTCAATGATGTTTAATTTGACCAATGTATTGTAATAAAATAAAAATAATATAATTATTTATCTCAATATAAGATAATAAAATATATAACTAGTAATACCAATTTAAAATAATAAATGGACCTAAAAGTATCTTATAAAATAAATCATAGATCCATGCAAACTCATTTTTATTAAGTATAAATAACATTAGATAAACTTGTGGTATGTTTTCTTACATAGATTTGAAATATTTATAATAAGAAAACGTGTAACTATTACCAACACTAACTATGTGAATTAAAAGAAAAAATAAATGAGATGTTTGTTAAACTATTATTCAATTACCGCTTGAAAGGGAACACCATAATGGTTGTAAAATATATTTTTTGCGAATATGAAAATGAGTTAGTTACTTAGTATTTTATCAAATATTGGAAAATAAATCTAAAAACTTTTAATCTTATAAACAATATAAAAGTACACTTAATCAAATATATTATTACTATAAAACACATAAAAAAAATTGCAATGCATATAAAGTGCTCTAATTCTTTCAATAAATAAAATATTATCTGTGAATAAAATAAAAAGCAAATAAAATAATAGTCATGCAATGAGGAAAAGAAAAAGTCCGAATTTTCTTAGAGAAGTTTGAATAATAATATCAAGAAACAAAAATATTTCAAAATTACTACTTTTTTGTTGTTGTTAGTATTTAAGTATATGTTCTTTGCAAGAAAGTAGTTTTCATAAATAATGATCATATTCTATCATAATATAGACCATAAACTTTAATCATGACTTTGTAATAATAAAATTCACAGATGACTACGAGTATCATTATAATAGAATTCAAATTCTCCTAATCTCAAATGTTTTGAGAAATAATGAAGCCAAATATTGTTTTGTTTTGTTATTGTTGAAAAATCAAGAAAGGATCTTTATCTTGAATTTTCGAAGCATTATGTATGCTGCAAAAAGTTGGACAATAATTGCATTAAATAATATATGTAAATCCGAACGAATGTGAATGGATTATGATAAACAACTCTAAATCATTGCAACAACCAAAATGCTCAATGATTTACAAACAATAGATTATGTAGTTCGTCTATCCTTCTAATAAATAACATTGAAAAGGAAATGTCTGATTCTTATCAAAATGTTTTTGAATGTTTGAATAAGTTATCACTTTTTTATATGAATATTTACAATCTCAATTGTGTATTGTGCTCCATCATATGCACAATTACTTTAGAGTACATACTTTCATGTAATAAGTGATGATTTTAAAAATTAATTTAGCGTCTGGGGTGAAGTAAATCAAGATTTTGGAAAGTCAATTTTTATTTAGAGATGAAATTCTTTCCCATCTCATGGGAATGTACTATTTTGTCTATATGGTGAGAGAGTAATGTAGTAGTTTATACAATGATTTAAAAAAAATCACACGTACGGTTGGTTATTTCACATAGATATGTATGAACTGTGAACTGTTAGTAGAAGCACCCTATAATGATCATACAATCATGAAGTTTGACTATATGTTTGGCTAAATGCGTATTGAATAAAGTAGACATTTCACCAAATTAATTAAAAAGAAGTTTGCAATATTATGGAGGTATTGAGCTCTAACGAGTATGAATGTTTCTTAGGAGAACGTCAAAATATAAATTAAAATGAAAGAAAACCACTCTTGAATCTAACATAAATAAATAAAAGAAAACATGCATCTATGATATACATTAGATCCATATTTAATTATTTAATGTTTTTTTTTTTTTATTAGAGACTCATTTTTCATATATTTTTGTTGCGCTTGTAACATGTTATTTAAAATTTTTTCGTTAGGACATCATTATGTTATTTTTGACAAAAAATACATTAAGAGCTTATTTGTTCTACGTTCATTTTGTTCCTGCGATGATATGTTTAATAAATTAATTAATTTATCGTACTAAATATAATCGGCAAAAAAAAATTCATCACCACGTGCATCGCACGTGCACTTTATTAGTTTTACTAAAAGCAACATATCACAGGGGATTAATGTTGTAGGGCAAATATATGCTTGTTGATAGCTGATATCTGGATGCGTGTGTAGGAGCATATTTTTTTTTTAATTCATCCATGGCTTTTTCACTGCTTTTGCTGACATATTGAGTCTGTATTGATAAAAAGTAAAGTAAAATTGTCATATTATAGGTAAAGTAACCCCATTGGTATTTGGTTGTGATCTTATGATTTGTTCAGTGGCTTTGAAGTTGTCCAAGAGAAAAGATGATGAGAATCTCCTGCTTCTTCCCACAATTATTTATGGAAAGAAAGCAAAGGTCCTACTTGCACCTCTCAAGCCAACTTGTCATCTCTGTCTAGAAACCTCCATTCTCTACTCTCTCTCTCTCTACTCACCAACTTGAATAGAAAAAGGTGAAGAGAGGGTTTTGTGGTTTCTAATTTATTGAGGATCTTGAAGTGGAAAATGGCTGCTTTACTTGTGAGCTTAGTGCTTCTCATAGCCATGTCTGGCCATTCAGATGCCACTTATTGTCAGTGTAACCCAAATTTGAGCCAGGATGTGTTTCAGAAGAACATAGATTATGCTTGTGGAGCTAGGGCTGATTGTACAGACATCCATCAAAACGGGCCTTGCTTTAACCCTAACACTGAGGGATCACTGTAATTTTGCTGTTAACAGTTATTACCAGAGAAGAAACCAAGTGCAGGGCAACTGTGATTTTCAGGGAACTGCCACTGTTACCTCAGCACTCCCTACTACAAATACAAGTTTTGGATGTGTGTACCAAGATAGTCCAAGCTCCGGCACCAGCACAGGCGGTACCTCCACCGGCGGCAAAAATTCCGGCGGAACACTTTCAGGCAGCCTTGGGCCCATTGGGAGCGGATATGACAATAATTTCGGTGTTACTCTATCTTCTCAAACAGCATCTTTATGATGCTCGTACTGTGGGTTTTTGTGTCTCGTCTAGTTGCATGCATCGATATCGACCGGAAGGGGGTTTAAGCCTTGTTGTACAATGTTCTCTTCTGTTTAGAATTTCCCATGTAAATCTAGATAGAGAGGCAGCATAATGTTTATTATTATTATATTTATTAGTTAATGACAAAAGAATTCGTCGCTTTGTATGTTTTTGGAGACAATGAATATTTTGTCCCTACTATTTTTTGTGACATTTTTTTTATCTATCATATTGCAAATTTCTTTCTATGACGACCAATATTTTGTAGTTATAAAATAAATATTTCATGACTAATTATATGAAATTTGACGATTTTTATAACGAAAACGCAACAAATATATTCGTCACTAAAATTTATAAATTTGATAAAATAATAAAATTTGTCACTAAAAAATAATATTTAGATGACAAAGTTAAGTTTTTGTCATTTAAAACTTTGCTTTTTATGACAAAATATTTGTTTACATGACGAAATTATCATAATAAACGTGACGAAATTATCGTCATGAAAGATGACCAAATAACATGACGATACTTATAAACGTCATTATAAATGAAAAATTTGGTGACAAGTTCGAAATTTGTCACTTAGATCTATTATGACGCGGCTACGGTGACTGTAATGCCCCGTTTAACTTATGGAATTTTGGGAGTTATTTATTATTGAATGCTATAAATTATTAATTTGTCCCATATGATTTATCTTAATTGTTTAAATATTAATAAATTGTCTAAATGTCTAAATGCTATTATTATAAATTGTCAAATTGAGTATTTATATTTTTACTATTATTATTATTATTATTATTATTATTATTATTATTATTATTATTATTATTATTATTATTATTNTTGAGGATAAAGACTCTAAATCTAAGCCCTACTTTATTTTTACGCGCAACTTTTCCTATTTTCTTCTCTCGACGGCGACTTTGACCAGAACAGAGAAAATCGATCTCATCCTCCATCTCTCGCAAATCTGACCATCACCCTCGCTTTTCTTCATCATCGCCATCATCTTCTCCACCCTTCCCGCTGCCTATTCATCCCGCCACCATCATCTCTCGGCGTTCATCTCCTCCGCGACGAGCGCATCTCGTCAGCCCCATCTCGCCGCCGCGGCCGGCCCTGCTTCCGGCGACTCCCGAACGCTGCAACACCTCGACCTCCTTCCTCCGGCGAGCCTTTCCTGGCCGTGAACAGCCCCGACGTGAACCAGCAGAGCACCTCCCGTCGCTGCAAGTCCTGCCGGAGAAGAGGGCACAAAGCCGGAAGGCAAGCTCTTCAATGACCAACGAAGCCTCTCCGATGGACCCTTGCCATCGCAGCATCACCGGCGAGAACCAGTCCGGCGAACCCGTCCACCATTGCCGTGAACCCTTCTCTGTTCGCAAACAGCAAGCCGCCCCGCGAAGTTCATCGGCGAGTTCTGACCTCCATCGCTGCACGCGGGATGAGGTCAGCGATGCGCGGGACGCGCAATGGCTGACGGGTGCGAGTCCTTGGTGGGCGAGGAATACCGCGCCGCCTAGGGTTGATCCGCGCAACTTGGGGCGCAAGGCAGAAGACGCGAGGGAAGCACGCGAGATGATCGCACGAGCAAAGGGCGCAAGCCTAATCCTCATAGGAATAGGCAAGGCGCGAATACTAGACCTCGCGGGACTAGGAAAAGCAGCTGAGTGTTGGTACGCGCGTGATAGATTCGCGACGGGAGTAATCCTCAAAGGAACAGGCAAAGTAGATGGGAGCATATTCCTAGTAGGAATAGGCAAAGCGGAGGCGCGCTCGAGCAAACGCCTTGGCGAATTAGGACTAGGCGAAGCGGGCTCGGGTATGGTCCTTCAAGGCATAGGGGAGAGCACGCCGAACGGACACAAGGCGACACGCGCGCGGAGGCTAGGGATTCTTCCCTAGGTGGAGTAGGAATGGCGCGCGCGGGGATAGGCTAGGATTTCCCTACTTGGAGTGCAAGACAAGATCTCCAAGGATCCTTTAGATATTTAGTTTCCTTATTGCTTATGATATCTAGATTGTTTAGGACTTTAATATTTTATTGCTTTAATTAGTGATTTAGTTGCCTTAGGATTAGATATATTCCATCTATTAGAGTTATAGGTAGATTAGGACTAGATCTATTTGGTGCCTATATAAAGGCCTTTCCTCTTGTTATTTTAATCATGTCTTGAATTAATGAAAAAACCGAACTTTGTGTTCAAATTCTTGTGTTAGATTTCTTTTGAGATTTAGTGCAAAATCCTTGTTACGAGAAGGGCGTTTCACCGCATAGCTCGAGCAAGACGAGTTTAGCAAGGATTCACGTCCGAGCTGTCTCACCTATCGCGAGAAGATAAAGAGATTAACCTCCGAGTCGTCCGCAACCCTCGCCGGAGATCGAGCTCACGCAACGTCCGAGGCAAGGTCACGAGTCGGGAACACGCGATTCTTCATCATTGGTGCTTTCATTGAGAGTGTCAATCGCGTGTTCTTTATCCCATCCCTTTCTTTAATTTTTGAGTCTTAAAAAAAAAAATGAGCATGTTTTCTAAGGAGGAGATCGAGACAAGTTGGCGTTCATGGGAGAAGATGGTGCAATCAATGAAAGCAAAACAATGGCGTCGAAGAGAGGAGAAGTTGGAAGGATTGGAGAGGAGTTTGATCCCAAAGGGGCGGAAATATTTGGAGGAGTTGTACGAGCGAAAGAATTTTGAGGAGGAGATGTTTCGACGACAAGATGAGGGTCTATGCTTTACTTGCCCCGAAAAATATGTGTCGGGCCATAAATGCAAGTCAAACGATGCAAGGGTCCAGGTCGTCGAAGTCGAGGTCGAGCATGATGAAGGCAAACCCAAAACTATGGTCGAACAACTCGAGCAGGAGGCCAAGTGCATGGTCGAGGTAGAAGATGTGGTCGACGAGGACCATGAGGAGGAGATGGTCGTGGTCGACGCGGACCATGACGAGGAGACCATATTCCCGTTCGATTGTGCGGGCTATGTTGAAGACGAGGTCACCAAGTCCATGGTCGAGCGAGTCGAGTCCGAGGATCTACCTTCGTTCAACGACGTGTTCATAGACGAGGGAGTTACGGTCGACTACTTAGGGCCACCTATTTACGACGTGTACCTCGATGATGACGAGCACTTGATGGTCGAGGAGTTTTGGGAGAAAGCCGAGGTGGTCGAAGCTCCAAGGCTCGAGGAGGTTTCGGATGTGGCCAAGATATCCGGGGTCGTTGGAGTCGAGAAAACAGAAGAAGAGGTTGATATGATCGAAGAGGACGACGAGCCCCGAATGGAGATACTTGATGAGTCCTTGAGGACAAGGACAAACTTTAAGGGGGCGGGAATGATGCGAATGTGGGTTTCGAGGCCTGAGGATGCACACGGTCGTGGGACGCAACGACCCGAGAAGGCCGGGCGACACGAGTCGGCGCATACGCGGCTGAGGCGATCGACATACCGAGGCTATAAGAAGGTGGCTCGTGAAAGCTGCGCGCGAGGAAATCGCGTGACACATAGACGTGCGAAACGAGTGGGCTGCGTGACAAGGCAGGCGGGATCGAGGTGCGGAAGCCAAGGCCGCGTGATGAAGGAAACGCATAGGACGGACGATCGGGACAAGGGGCACGGTCCGAAAGCCAGCAATCGGAGGAAGGCTCTCGTGTTGTCCACTCGTGAGCGGGACGACGCGCGAATGCGGGAGCGCGTGCGTGGCGCGACGGGGCACACGCGGGATGAGGTCAGCGACGCGCGGGACGCGCAATGGCTGACGGGTGCGAGTCCTTGGTGGTCGAGGAATACCGCGCCGCCTAGGGTTGATCCGCGCAACTTGGGGCGCAAGGCAGAGGACGCGAGGGAAGCACGCGAGATGATCGCACGAGCAAAGGGCGCAAGCCTAGTCCTCATAGGAATAGGCAAGGCGCGAATACTAGACCTCGCAGGACTAGGAAAAGCAGCTGAGTGTTGGTACGCGCGTGATAGATCCGCGACGGGAGTAATCCTCAAAGGAACAGGCAAAGTAGATGGGAGCATATTCCTAGTAGGAATAGGCAAAGCGGAGGCGCGCTTGAGCAAACGCCTTGGCGGATTTGGACTAGGCGAAGCGGGCTCGGGTATGGTCCTTCAAGGCATAGGGGAGACGCACGCCGAACGGACACAAGGCGACGCGCGCGCGGAGGCTAGGGATTCTTCCCTAGGTGGAGTAGGAATGGCGCGCGCGGGGATAGGCTAGGATTTCCCAACTTGGAGTGCAAGACAAGATCTCCAAGGATCCTTTAGATATTTAGTTTCCTTATTGCTTATGATATCTAGATTGTTTAGGACTTTAATATTTTATTGCTTTAATTAGTGATTTAGTTGCCTTAGGATTAGATATATTCTATCTATTAGAGTTATAGGTAGATTAGGACTAGATCTATTTGGTGCCTATATAAAGGCCTTTCCTCTTGTTATTTTAATCATGTCTTGAATTAATGAAAAAACCGAACTTTGTGTTCAAATTCTTGTGTTAGATTTCTTTTGAGATTTAGTGCAAAATCCTTGTTACGAGAAGGGCGTTTCACCGCATAGCTCGAGCAAGACGAGTTTGACAAGGATTCACGTCCGAGCTGTCTCACCTATCGCGAGAAGATAAGGAGATTAACCTCCGAGTCGTCCGCAACCCTCGTCGGAGATCGAGCTCACGCAACGTCCGAGGCAAGGTCACGAGTCGGGAACACGCGATTCTTCATCACGCGGGGTCACCGCGCCCGCGCCGGGGCGCTGGGCAAGGC